GATCACCTCCATGCCATGCCGAATTGAGGCAGTAATTAAAGCGAAAGGAGCCCCTACCAAGTATTGAGTACATGTACAGTAAATGAACATCCTTTCCAGAAGGCCAACAATTCACTTAAAATGTTTTTTTTATTGGTCTTATTAAGTATTCTAATTTGTTGAGATAGTTAATTGGTGGGTTTTTGTTAAATGTGAGCCAAAATCATCACAATTAAAAGAAACAAAGGCTTAAACTACTTCAGTCTGTGTGCATTGAATTTATTTAATACACGAGTTTCACAATTTGAGTTGAATTACTGAAATAAATGAACTTTTCCACGACATTCTAATTTATTAAGATGCACCTGTATATAAAGTTTAACATAAACTCTTGTTTTGACAGATCTTTTGATACAAATGATATATTTCATTAGCTTAATAATATAAAAGGCAAGTTTTTATAACTGAATCTATCAGTTTGCCTGCTGTCATGAGATATTTTTCTTCTTCCGGAGTTCATAAAGATCGTGTGACCGTGTGTGTGCAGGTCTTTCTGTCAGTCGTACGACATGAAGCAGCACTCCACCAAAGTCTTCAGAGACATCGTCAACGCTCTGGGCTCCTTCATCCAGTCGCTCTTCATCCTCCCCAGCGCAGGAAACGCCTCGTCCACAAGCACGCCTGCAGGTCACACACACACACACACATGCGCACACACACACACATGCGCACACACAGTCTGGTTCACTGTCCTTGTAGGGACTCCCCATAGGCGTAATGGTTTTTATACTGTACAAACTGTATTTTCTATCGCCCTACACCTAAACCTAAACCTACCCCTCACAGAAAACTTTCTACATTTTTACAATCTCAAAAAATTTAAGTCCCGACCAGTGTAGAAAAACCTGTACACACGCACACACACACTCACACGCACACACACTCACACGCACACATGTGCACACGCACACATGCGCGCACACACACTCACATGCACACAGACATACATGCACACTCACACACACGCACGCACGCACACATATGCACACACATACTTGCACACACACACACACACACACACACACACACATTCTCACACGCACACATATGCACACACATACATGCACACGCACACACACACATTCTCACACACACACATACATGCACACACACTCACATGCACACGCACGCACACACACACTCACATGCACACATGTGCACACTAGGGGTTGCACCGACTAATCGACTAGTCGACTTCAATGCTCTGCCATGACGCTTTAAGCTTGACACTAGTCGCTCGCTGGTCCTATAGAGGGCGCAACAGGATAAGAAATCTTTGAAGGACTTCCACATTTACGCTCCGTTTCCAAACAGTTCAAATGACAAATAAATGCATACTCTGAAAGCGCTCCACAAGACATGTGTGATTATATTACTGGATGCTCGAAATTGAACGGGAGAATGCACGTTTTAAACAGCTTATTGTACAGGTAAGTTAATCGCCGTTCTAATCT